GGTCCTAAGGCGAGGGCCTCACTCTCCTCTATGCAAAACCGGCAATGCTTATCAGCAGTATTACGTTTAAAAAACATTTTGTCATCAGCTTGGATTTGAGTATAATGAAAACATAGAATAGCCTTGGAGAACTGATCAAATTAAGCACTAGGTGACTATTTTAGCTCAAGGAATTCTCGAGTTTGCGAACCTTCTCTTCTCCTTAAGATTCTTCAAACCCAGAGGTAATTGCATGTAACATATCTTCACCTAAGTGAAGAAAGTAATTTTAATGTCGAGTTAATGGAGTGGCCAACCATATTTTGCTGCAAGTGAAATCAAAACCCGAACTGAATTCACCTTTGCCAGTAGGTTTCGTGATAGTCTGCCTTAAATGTCTAACCTATAATTACAAGCCTTGTATGTCTATCATAACCCGAACTGAAATCGCCTTTGCCACTAGGTTTCATGGTTGTCTACCTTATATGTCTAACCTATAACTACAAGCCTTGTATGTCTATCGACTTTTAGCTTTGAAGTTTAGTGTGAACACTCATTAGCACCCAACTAGAGTTTTTCCTTCATGTAGATGCATTAAACGCTATGTTCAATTTTCTTTTCTAGTGCCCTCATTTCTTCCAAAGCTGCAACCTTTCACTTTCAAATAATTAGAGCCTCCTGCAGAGATCTAGGAATTTCTATATAGACAAGGCCTTACGGGATGAAGATAAGACGCAAATTTAGATATTGGATGTTGAGTACAGGACCCACCTAGGAAACTAAAAAATTGGGTATATCTGGTGGACAGGAAAATTCAGGTTGTGATTTTGGACAATTTTTTGAAAAACTATCTTCATTAGATAGTCATGTGAAGGGGTTTTAAACACATTAATTAATTTAAAGTTATTCTTAAACACTGATACATTTAAGTTTGTTGATTTTAAGGTATGAAATCAAGTTCCTAGTAGATGGAGAATGGCAACTATCACCAGAATTTCCGACTGTTGGGGAGGGGCTGACGCAGAACAATATATTGATAGTGGAATAGCTTCAATTTGCTACTACTCCAATCAGATGTTTCTCAGTATGGAATTATGCAGATAAGTAGTCCACAGATCTTTCTTGCTTTACTGCTGGTGTGTCTGTATATATAGAATAAAAGATTCAGATAGGATATATCATATATTTGCAAAACCGGTTAGTTTTGTCTTAGATAATTAATAGTAGAGAACTGTTTTTACCTATTTCGGCAAAGTGTCCAGGACTTCATCAATTGAGTTTGAGTTCTTGAAATTCAATTTGAGATAATCTTATTGTGTTGTTCAGAGATTGTGATATTATGATCGCAATATGTTTGATTCTGCTTAAATCTGTTATAATCATGCGAAACTTGGATTGTTTCAGGAGTATGTGCAAAAATGTCCTAGTTATTATTTTCTTTTCTTTGTCATCTTTCAATACCTAACACCATAACTTCATCAATGATCACCACAACCAGCCTGGATCGATGGCCACTGGATCCGGATCCGGATCTGGCTCAAAAGCCACCAGATTTTCCCCATCATCTTTTTTGCACCATTTTTATTTTTTATTTTTTGAAATTCAGCCCCATGTATAAGGTTTCTTGAATTGAAGAGGTACTTGAATAAAAATATTCCTTGAATTGAAGTGGCGCTGAAAATTATGTAGTGGTGATTCTATTTTAACTCCGTTAGTCTAAAATTTTTTAGTAATTTTTTAGGAAGAATAGTAGTGAGTCCGACTATATGTGTGTATATCAATTGGGTAGTAATTATGAGTATATGATTTAAATTAATGTTTGACTTCAACTAAATAGAAAAATAAAATATTAATAAATACAGTGGCTATTTTTATGGATGATGGTGGTAGAAGGTGCGATGGTGTTTTTGGAGCTACGGTGGCACGGAAATGGTGTGACACTGGTAGATTTTGATTTGGATGTTGAAAGTAGTGGTAATAGGGTATGTTACTTTCAAGTAACAAACTAAGTAACACGGTGTGTTACTTGAAAGTGACACATTTGTATTTGGAAGTGAAATTGGATTGTGAATGAAGATCGCAAACTTTTGAAGTTGTGAAAATGACGTCGGTTGAGAAAAGAAGTGATATGTTTGAGATCGGAGAAGTCCGGCCTGATTGGTTGTGGTCGCAATAGTAGTAAACAATGCTGGACGAGACAGAGTAGGGTTTGGGATGATTAACATAGTAACACATGTTATCTTCCAAGTAACAAAATCATATCTGTTATCAAGAATAACATAAAATAAATTAAATATATGGAAATGCGTGGGGATAGAGGTAGGACGGGTTTTGGAGAAGATGATGAAATGATTGGGAAAGCCGTCATCACTGGCAGCAACGGTGAGTGGTGTTTTTAAGTAGTGAGCTGGAATGGGATGGGGTTGAGGGCGTGGAGACAAGGAGATGAATTGGGACTCAGGTTCTTTATTTGGTATTTCATTTTTTTCTTTTTTCTTTTTTCTAATTTAATTTTTAACTTATTTTATTGTAGTAAATTACCCTTCTAAAAATATTAAAATTATGGTCAAAATCAAATTTCTTAGTCAACTAGCGGACATTTGGATGGAAATTGTCGAAAAGGGCTTTCACCGCAATGTTTTAAAAGGTTTGGGTTGACAATTGCAACAAATTAAAGGTCATGGGAAAGTCTGCTAATATTTTAAAGATTTGGGGTCTCTACTGCAATTATCCCTAAAAAGAATGATTGAGTGTTTTAATATGCCATCTCTTGATTTAACATATAAAAAACATCATGGAATTCTTATAAATAAACATGAAAAAATTCAATCATACCAATCTCACACAAGATAAATAAAGAATACAAAATATTGAATTAAAACATGAGCGAAAGTCTTTTAGCCAGAAAATATGATGATGATCAAAACTAGAAGAAGTTAACATAGTCAATCGTCACTTTGTTTTAAGAGTCCAAAGATGGTACGAATCTCTCAATCTCTATCTTAGATCTCAAGAAACTTGGAAATCTGCAAGTTTGGATCTTTAACAATTCATCGGATCTTCCCATTTATTTCTTCCAACAAGATGAATGTTTGTGTTTTTTATTTGATCTTATCTGATTTGGTAATGTATGAAATTTTATATGTTCTTCTACGGTGTCTCATATGAAAAAGGGGCATAAGATGCCTTAGTTTCAAGACAAAAGCGATTTTCCCAAATCGAGGCGAGCCCAGAATCCAACTCCTGCAGCTAAACTTTGATTTTCATCCACTTCTAGCTTGGGCAATTGCGGGGCAAGAGTAAATTGCATCCTATGTCTTCATCTTTCGATTTTGTATGATTTGGTCCCAGTTTATTGTTTTTATGCAGATTTAGTCCTCCTCTTCAAATGCAAATAACTTTTGATCCACAGCTTTGATTGTGTTGAACTAAAAATTCAAATATGTAATGGTATTTTATTTGCCCTAAAGATATTTTCACAGAAAATTTGTGCATTAACTTTCTAACATTCTTTTATAAAATAATGTTATACGTAAATTAAAATGATTTCCTAGTTTTTTAAGCACACATTTTTTATTTTTTTAAAAATAACTATTTCAAAACACATTCCCCCCCCCCCCCCACACTCCAAAAAAGTCATTTTAATGGAGCCCAAACAATGGCATGTAAGCGTACTCTCAAAAGTAAATCAGATTAAACCAACTAAATAAAGATTCAATTGTAAGAAATTTAAAGACTAAGCCCCCGTTTGGTTTTGATAAAAACTCAAACATTAAGTAAAATTTGATAAAAATTAATGAAATATGTAGTTTAAAAACCAATAAAAATTTATGAGTTTCAAAAAAGCTTTAAACTTCTTGGACAACCTCCTTGTTGTCCAGGGGGTTATGTGGCGCACCCTTATTCTACAACGCAAATAGCTAGGAGGTTGTCCAAGAAGAATGACTCGTAAAAAAATGTGTGATGGAAAATAAGTTTAAAAATAAATAAATTTAAAAAATGAGACTATTCAAAGTTATATTTCAGTGGTTAATAGTTTGTCCGCGTGGCTTTAAGATGAAATGAATATGTCAACAGTCTTGAATTTGACGTAATCTCAAGTTATGTTTGAATCACATTATTAGAGAGAGAATAGATTTAGTAATAATGATTTTTTAAAAATATGTGTGATTATAAAGTTAAAATAAATAAATAAATTTATGTGTAAAATTATTTTGTTGAAAGAATGTGTAATTGAAAATGAATTTGAAAAAAAAAAAATACATGTGATTATAAAGTCAAAAAAATGAATTTATGTGCAAAACTATTTTGGTGAAAGAAAGTGCAATTAAAAAAAAAAGGAAAAAGTTTTAAGGTAACAAACCTAAAACATAGAGGCTTGGAACCATTTCATACTGACGAAATTTCGTTGTGCTGGCAACGACATGATAGTTTCATGTCTTGCTTTATGTAGGTATAATCATTATAAACTTTGAAGAGAAGCAACATCCGTGGAAGGAAAGAGATAAACTCCTGTACCGAGGAGATTGTCAGTGAGATAGATGACGCATGTGTATTGATTGGAATAGAACTATTTTTTGCTCAAAATCCAATGAATGCTTGTCACTTGTACCCTTATAATGCATTCCGGTAATTCTTCATATACATGTAGTGGCGTTGGTAAAGAAAATGGGGAGATCTCTCCAAATGGATGATATTTGAAAAGCTAACTTCTTGCGGAGTGAAAGCATATAAAAAGGGACGAGTATAAAAAAGACATAGAAAATATTGATTTGAATCCAAAAATTGAATAAAACTTTCACAAATCCGTTGCCTTAATTATCTCCTAAAAACAAATTAAGGAAAGCTGATGTCAAAGTGCTCATCTCTTTACTCTTCTCTTTTAGCTAATGGGAATATCTCGTTCTTAGTTCTTAAAGATACATCTCCATCCGATGGAATGGAGTACGGGTCGTACTCCTGCCTTTGTTATATTAGTGTTTCTGATTTTCCTATTGGTTGGTGCTCTCTTCAGAAAAGAGTATAAAGTAGAGCGTGAAGCTGTAAGTCAAAAAGTTTAGCGAAATCCCCCAAATGAAAAGTAGTCATTATCGGGATAGCTGCTTTTCAACCACTTATTAAGCATTATGCACCTAAACGCAGTCTTTCTAACAACTATCTTGTTAAACCTAAATTCTTGCAAAAGAGTTCCTTTTTTCTTCTTCTCTCTCTTTATGCTCGAAATCATCTTCTATAGCACCGTCAGCTTACTGTTATCGTATGCTCTTCTAATCCAATGCCATGACCCATTTTCATCACTTCTAGAAATTTTTATCAATTTTTATTATTCTTCTATGATTATGTTATTTAGTTGCATATTAAGCCTCCGTTTGATTTCTATTCTTTGGCCACAAAAATGAAAAATATGACCATTATTTATCACATTAAGTTTTCATATTTGACTTTCTATCTCTTATGTGGATCTCATAATGACTATATTTTTCATTCTCATTCTTTCAAAAATGAGAATTGGGGTCTAATTATTATTTTTTAAACGTAATTAGAGCACCACCTACTCAGCAAAAAGTGGTCGAAAATAAGCCAAAAAATTGAGTGGCGTGAGTGGCCACAAGAACCTTTGCTTGTCGGGGAAGCCTAATTATTGGAAAAAAGTAAAAAGGGTTTCAGTACAAGCACCCTTTTTCGGTGATATTCTCGATGTAATTCATTGGTTTTGGTGAAACCTAAATAGTGCATGGATTGTCATTATTGTTAACAGGGTAAATAAATCTCAGTGGCATAAAGTCTAAAAGCTCCAATGGACATTAGGATTGGGGTTCTATTATACTATTTGTACAAAATATATTTACAAATTCGGTTAATAAATAAGTGTCGACAAAATTTAGACCATTGATTTCAAATGATTTAAAAATTTATTTTTGAAATAATTGATGTAAATATTACTTTGTCGACTAACTTTATAAACCAAGCATAACTCTTTGGGTTTCTTCTTAATCACGTCAACTTTTTTAAGATGAAATTTTAAGATTTAGAGTCTGTTTGTTCCACATTTTTTCAACAAAAATGCATTTTAAACATCACATCATGGGTCCTACTTTAGAGTGTTAAAGTCAATTATTGTAGGCTGATTTGATAGAAAAATGTATTATTTTCCCAAATAATGTGTAGATATTTTAAGAATATATTTTATGAAAGTCGTGTGATTAAAAAGTATGAAATTTTTTTTTTTCAATCATTATTCACAACTCATTTGATCTATTTATGAACTTTTCCAAAGGGGCATTTGATATTTCTGTGTTACTTGTGTAAGGATAAGCATAGAAAAATCAAGTTTATGGACTAACCACTGTATTGGATACGTTGAACTATTGGACGAAAATGAAAAAAGAACGCTGTGATCAAATACTAATGTGACAATTGATTGAAAAATCACATACATAGGCTGACAAGTTTTCTTAATAAGCCGAAAAATTAAAAAATCAAAGAAGAGTGATGCTTCAGAACCCGGAATGGTTCCGTTCCAGGGTTGAGGTGGCAGCACCTTTACCCCGGATCTTCACACATGCGGGGCCCGCCCCTTTTACATCGGGAGCCGAGGTGGCTGGACTTAATCCCGGGATTTTATCGCGGGATCTCCAGCTTTTTTGATCAAAGAAACTGTGAACTAAATTTATATATTGATTGATATAAAATTTGATCAACTTGTTCAATAATATGTAGGAAGTATTTGGCGCACCGAATTAGATCGTATAAATTATGATAGATAATATTAGATGGATGATATTATGGTGTATTAAAATGGATAATATTCTTTGTTTTTTCATTTAAGAAATATATCATTTGCACATCTACTATATAACATCCCACGGAGCGTAGAGATTAGTTTAAACATAAAAATAAAAAATAAGAAAAAAACTATAGTAATTGATATTTTTCTAAATGAAAAATCTAACACAACCTTAATTCATTACAAGCTTTGAAAAATTGTTCTTGTTGGTGTTTTCAACACAACTCCTCTTGAGTAGTTCATATTCACTTTTTTCAAATTTAAGACTTCGATCGACAATTGAGAGCAGTGTAAGATTTTACTGAGAGAGAGAGAGAGATGATCTCATGGTAGCTATGCAGAAAAATATTATGCTTCCAAGAAGCTAATGAATCTAAAAAGGGATTCAAAATTCCAATTTACTAAGTGGAAAACATTTATTTTATACAAAATTGAGGATGTTACTTAACTACACGACATTTAAATTGTTGAAACACTTGAGGATAATCTTCTTTGTGGAGTCCCTCATCGAAATTCTGAGAATAACTAACAGCATCGTACTGAAATGTCACAGGTTTTGAAGGTTCATATATGCTCTTGCTTTCATTCACAATCTTTCTCACTAATTTTCTCAATCTTCTGCCTTTATTGTTTCCACGGCTAATGTGAATTCTCGAGTATTCTTCTTGAACCGTCACGCACGAAGGCGACATGCAGCCGGAGAAATATGGAAGCCGGCGGTTGTTGATCTCACCTCCCATTTTCTGCAGCAGACGAGAGGCTAAGATAGAAAGGAGTTTGGTCTTTGATAAGGAGGAAAAGAAGTGCCTTTTCTTTTGTTTATGTTTGCATGTGTTTGTCCAATGGAATCCCAAGCCATTTGCTTTATCCTTATTTTGGACCAATTTGTGGGCCAAATTTTGCTGTATTCTCATGAATGAAATTTGTCATATATTTGCTGTAATGAAGAGAGTTTAATAAAGTTAGATACGCATGTACGAAAAAATATATGATATGCATGTTTATAGGGTAAATTACACCAATGGTCACTCAAGTTTGCAATAAATTTTAAAATGTGCACTAAAGTAGTTTCCTTATACAGAGTAGTCATTAAAGTTTATAACAATTGCATTAACAATCACTATTTAAAATATTAACGTTAAATTCTACATGATGCTGTTAAGTCCCTGTTTTAGCTCCATTATAATTAGTTTTTGGGGAAAAAAAATGTATCTTTGACAATCGCACCTTCAATTAATGGAACACGATTATATAGGTTTCACATATAGCGAACTCATTAACATCGTTTGTGTTTGTTGTCGATTTTATCCCGCAAATAGACGGATCGTAACAAGCAGTAAAATGGACCTTTTGAGTTTGGATTATCTTTCTCACGTTGACTATACTTTATGACGCTGAACGGAAGTAAGAAAAAAAAAACAAAAAGATTTATCAACGTAAATCTTGAAAATAAGAAAGTTGGAATTCTCCGAGAATGAAACTTGTATATTCTTCAAAATGATAACGAAAAACGTTCTAAAAGCCATTAAATAGGCGTTACAAGAAACCCTAAAACATAGAAAAAATAAAACATTCCAAAAATAGCGAAAATTCAAAACGGGAAATACGAAAATTAATTATTCAGAGGCCTAAACGAAGAAATTTGGCTAAAATCCTGAAATCTCAGGTTTGCCCCGAGTCCAATTTCTCGGGCCGTTTCCAATCAACTTCCCAAATTTCAACCCATTCCGACACCATCGTGACAAATAACAAAATTGCCCCTGGCGCAGTTTTTCTTTGTTAATTTTCTGTCAACACTTCTTCAAACTCCAAAGCTAGTTGTCCTATATCAGTCTCCCCCACCTACGAAGAACTTGACCCCGAGTTATATTCCAGATAGAGTGGAACATCATCACGAAACTCATACAGATCAGCCACATTGAAGGTGCGAGAGATGTTCATACTAGCAGGCATGTCGACCACATATGCATTGTCATTGATCTTCTTGATCACCTTGTATGGCCCATATTTTCTCGGCTTCAGCTTGTTGTAAGAACCAACAGGAAATTGTTCCTTACGCAGAAACACCATCACTTGATCACCTTCCACAAATAGTTTCTCACGCATCTTGCTGTTTGCCGCAACCTTCGCATTTTTTTCTTCCAACCGAGCCTTCACTTCCGTCTGAACATCACGAGCTTGTTCAGCCATATTTTCAGCAACCATATTGGAACCAGCAACCTTAGGGAGGCGAGCCAAATCCAATGCATGTTTAGGAGGCTTCAAATACACCAAAGAGAAAGGGGATCTACCAGTGGCAGTGTGGATTGCATTATTATACGCGAACTCGGCCAGCGCCAGCGCCACATCCCACTGCTTTGGCTTATAACCACAAATGCTGCGTATCAAATTCCCCAGTGTCCTATTCAGATTTTCGGTCTACCCATCTGTCTGCGGGTGGGCTGTGCTACTGAACTTCAGAGTAGTATCCATCCGCCGCCACAGTGTAACCCAAAAATGACTAAGGAATTTCGAGTCCCTGTCAGAAGTGATGGACTGAGGGACTCCATGTAACCGAACCACTTCACGAAAGAATAGCTGAGCTACGTGAGAAACATCATACGTTTTTCGGCATGGGATAAAATGCCCCATTTTGGAAAACCTGTCAACCGCAAAAAATACAGAATCTACCCCACGTTGAGTTCGAGGCAGCCCCAAAACAAAATCCATCGACAAATCTTCCCATATCGCATTTGGTACAGGTAGAGGCATGTATAGGCCAGTATTCTGAGCTTGCCCCTTTGAAGTCTGACATATATAACACTTATGGACCAAATTTCCCACGTCGCGCTTCAACTGAGGCCAGTAATATCGCTCGGCTACCCCACCGATAGTTTTATCACGTCCCAAGTGACCACTCAAGCTGCCACCATGTAGTTCTTGTATCAGTTTCTCCCTCAAATAACTCTGCGGAATACACACCTGGTTGCCATGGAACAGGTAGTCATCAACTATATGGAACTTGCCATCTGTTTGTTTCAGAACACACTTTTCCCATACTTTCGCGAAATCCTCATCTTCCACATATAAGTCTTTCAGATACTCAAAACCAATAACCTCCTACTGCATCGTTACCAGCAAGCTTGCACGCTGACTCAAGGCATCTGCTACCTTATTCAAAACTCCGGATTTATGCTTTAGAACAAATGGGAATTTCTGCAAATAAGTCAACCACCGAGCATGCATGTTACTTAAATTTCTCTGGTTGTTCAAGTACTTCAAAGCCTGATGGTCGGTGTAGAGTATAAACTCCCGCTGAATCAGGTAGTGCTCCCAATGTTTCAAGGCCCGAACAACTGCATAGAATTCTTGGTCATATGTACTCCACTTTCACCGTGCATCACTAAGTTTCTCGCTAAAAAATGCCACTGGCTTCTTCTCTTGTGACAAGACCACTCCGACCCCAATTCCACTAGCATCACACTTTACTTCGAACAACTTCTCAAAACTGGGCAGTGCAAAGACAGAAGTGGTACACAATTTCTCCTTGATGACTACAAAGGTTGTGATAGCTGCTTCACCCCACTGGAATTTACCTTTCTTCAGACACTCTGTAATAGGAGCCACAATGCTGCTGAAATCCTTGATAAATCTCCGGTAAAATGTCACCAATCCGTGAAAACTTCTTACTTCTCCAACTGTCTTCGATGTAGGCCAATCACGAATGACTTTCACCTTTTCCTCGTCAACCATTATCCCCTTGGAACTGACTAGATACCCAAGGAATAAAAGTCGCTCTGTCCACCAACTACACTTCTTTAAATTAATGAACAGTTTGTTAGCTAACAACACCGCTAGCACAATTCGAAGATGCTTCATGTGTTCCTCCTCACTACGACTATAAATCAGTATATCATCAAAGTAAACCACTACATATTTTCCAATGAAAGGCCGCAATACCTGTTTCATAACTCGCACAAAAGTACTTAGCGCGTTGGACAGCCCGAAAGGCATCACCAACCATTCATGGAGCCCATCCTTAGTTTTGAATGCTGTTTTCCATTCATCCTCGGGTTTAACTCGAATCTGGTGGTACCCACTTCAGAGGTCGATCTTGGAGAACAACTTCGAGCCATCCAGCATATCCAACATGTCATCCAGACTTGGAATTGGGAAGCTATACCGAATAGTGGTTTTATTTATCGCGTGACTATCAACGCACATCCTCTAACTGCCGTCTTTCTTTGGGACGAATAAGGTAGGCACAGCGCAAGGGCTCACGCTTTCACGAATAACCCCCTTCTTCAGTAACTCCTCTACCTTCTCCTGCAAAATTTGATTTTCCTTCAGACTCATCCGGTAATGAGGCATATTTAGCAAACTTGTTCCAGGCACCAGGTCAATACTGTGTTGAATGTCTCTTAAAGGTGGGAGGTCATCTGGTAACTCATCAGATACTAGCTCGCTGAACTCATCCAAAAGGGACCGCATCTCTCCTGGTATCACCACCTCAGGTTCATTTTTCTCCTCTATCACGAGGGCTCGTACTACCACCATATGGACCTCCTGTGCTTCCTTCACCTCTGACTCGAAATCAGCTACTGAAGTTACTAAAGAAAGTAGAGGTTGACCTTCTGTAGTAACCATAGCAGGGACAGTTGGGTTTCGTTTTGGGACCATGGCAATTTTTTTACCCTCCCAATTGAAAACATACACATTATCACGCCTCCTATAGGCCACATCCACGTCAAACTGCCAAGGATGCCCCAACAACACATGGCTAGCATCCATGTCGACAACATCGCAAACCACTTCATCTCAGTAGTGCTGGCCAATTGAGATAGGGACCTTATACACTTCTGTCACACTCACCTTAGGCCCCTTCTGAATCCACCCAATCACATAAGGTTTCAGATGCTTCTCAACCCGCAACTTCAGATGCTCCACCAGCCTCTTGGACACGAAGTTCTCACAACTACCAGTATCGGCAATCAAATCGCAGACCTTACCTTGCAAACTGCAACAAGCCTTAAAAATATTATTTCTCTACGAGGACTCCTCCACCTTTGTTGAGCACATAGTTTACAAATTCTCCCTACTCTTCTGCAATTTCTGCTCTATCCAACAATTCCTCTACTTCAGCCCCTTCCTCCACATACTGCTCCTCTTCACCATCCTCTCCAGCATCCACAAAGTTCACTGACCTCCTGGTTGGACATTCATTCAAGCGATGGGCCACATCTATAGCACTTAAAACCAACAGGTTTAGTATATGGATTCGGCGCTCGCGGGGCTTCCTTTGCAACTGTTGCTGGGCGAGTTCCAGCGTGGTTATTATTGGGGACAGCACTTCTTTGGGTCTGATCAGTAACAGACTTAGAAGGAGTCTGGACTTCACCAGGAGTGAATCTGCCTCCGTTCGCCGCTGTGTAAGATGACTCGCGCATGTCCTTCTTATAGTTGGAAAAACGAGCGAAAGTTTTCTCCATCAATTCTGCTTTCAGCGCCAGGTTATGCGCCTCATCTACCGTCCACACCACATGCAGTCCAATCTTATCTTGAATGGATGGCTTTAATCCTCCAAAATACCTGAAAACCTGTTACGCCTCTGACTTGCTTAGATTATTCCAAACAGAAAGTCTGGACCATTCCGCAGTATAGTCTGCAACTGATTTGTTTCCCTGCACACAATTTTGAAAACTTTGAAATATGAACTGTTCATAATCAGGTGGCAAGAACCTGCTCATCATAAGTTGTTTCATCCGCCTCCAAGATCGGATAGGTGCCTTGCCCCAACGTCACCTATCCGTCTGCAACCGTTCCCACCAAACAGCAGCCCCACTTCTCAATTTATACGCTACCAATTTCACCTGTCGTTCCTCCGTAACCTTAGTAAACTCAAAGAACCTCTCGACCTTAAAAATCCAATCCAAAAATTCTTTGATTTGCAATTTTCCGTGGAACAATGGTATGTCTGCCCGAATCCTATAATCAGACTGATTCCGATTCAGTTGTGGATTTTTTGGGTGTTCAGCAAATTCATCCTCAGAATCCACATCGCTGAAATCTTCAGGTTTTTTGTTTCTTGCAAACCATATGAGGACGCCCGCCACCAGGTCGACCATTGGCATCTTCCTCACCCGAGGCCAGAACATTGATAGGCAGAGGGTTTGGTTACTGCTCCAACAAACGCTGAACCATAGCCTCCAACCTCCCCATCGATTGCCGCCGTTCGTCAATTGTAGCCCACAGTTCCGAATCTGTCTCCCTGCGACCAACGTCGCGAGGATGAACTCTTCCTCCGTCGTTGTTGTGGGCCATTGAAGAACAAGGCAAATCCTCGCTTTGATACCACTTGACGCAGAATGAAAGTAAGAAAAAAATAAAAAGATTTACCAACGTAAATCTTGAAAATAAGAAAATTGGAATTCTACAAGAATGAAACTTGTATATTCTTCAAAATGACAACGGAAAATGTTCCAAATGCCATTAAATAGGCGTTACAAGAAATCCTAAAACATAGAAAAATAAAACGTTACAAAAATAGTGAAAATTCAAAACGGAAAATAGGGAAATTAATTATTTGGAGGCCTAAACAAGGAATTTGACTAAAATCCCGAGATCTCGGGTTTATCCCAAGTCCAATTTCTCGGGTCATTTTCAATCAACCTGCCAAATTTCAGCTCATTCCAACACCGTCGCAACAAATGACAAAATTGATCCTAGTGTGATTTTTCTTTGTTAATTTTCTGTCCAACACTTTTTCAAACTCCAAAGTTAGTTGTCCTATATCACTTTAATACTCAATTTATTATTCCTAACTTTTATTTGATGAAAATAAACAAAAAAAATGATTGAATGTGATTTTTAAATCTAACTACTTAAAATGTGAATGGATGCAACAAAAAATGAGTGAGAATTCAAATAATAAATGGATATTAGGGCGGAACAAATTCACATATTGATCACATTTACTTCTAATATCGAGATTCATAAAATTAAAGTAGTGTTTGGTCAAATTCTTCTATGGTATTCAATTTACCTCTCTCGAATTCTTATTGAGCCTCTTTAAATAATTCAATTTCATATCTCTATGCGAATCAACATTATTTAAATGAAATAACAATTCTAAGAATTCCTATAGGACTGCAGCAATTAATATAAGTATCTCTACATGTTATATTAATTTATCGAATTTTAATATGTGGTCTAAACAAGAATCCACATCTCTACGTAATTATTGTTCATGAAATCATTGAATAACTGACCAGAAAATTCAAAACATTAAAAACATAATTAAAATCCACACCTAAAATATAAAATAACGAGAATCTCAAATAAAAGAAATAAAGGTTCCAAATAAGTTACATTATTCGCCCTAAAATTAGATTTAACTACTCAAAATAATGAAAGAAAAACAAGAAGTTATTATGGAAGACGTCACTGGGTTTTGAATAATAATATAAAATAAGAAATTAATATTGCATCAAGATCTTCCTCCCCTTCCAATTTATGCTTCAACCATTGAATTGCTTGTTGTAAAACTCTCTTGAATTATTCTCTTTAATCTGCAAGGTTGCCTCTTGCAATCCAATGTGTGAATCCCCTTCAAGTTTCTGAAAAGTTCCTTTTTATATCCCCTTTGCCGTATGTAGAAGATAGGGTTTTCATCTAGACTTCAATTGGATTGAAACTAAGCTTAGGTTACGGATTGGAATTCAGCACCGTAGTGCCGCATCACATATAGGGAGTGGCGCCGCGGCGCTGCAGCAGCGCGGTCTCTCTGATTCTCCATATATCAGCAGACAGCACCTCGTTCGGTATTTTTATTATAACCTTTTCTCCCGATATCCGATTGAGACGATTCAAGTTGCGTTGGAAATTTAACTCAAAGGGATACAACTTCGATTCAAACATCATTCTACAATTCTATCATTTTCTATGTCAAAAATGGGTCTCAATGTGAGGCTAAAATTTCGGAGCATAACTTTTCGGTTGAAAATTGATCATTTTTTGCCTAAATTTGATCTTTTTGGCATCTTTGTTCATCAAATTGACTCCTAACACTCTTGGATCTTCATCGTGAGGTTTGATACAACTTTTGAATATTTTCACTTTAGTCCCCAAACTTTGAATCTATTGCAATTTAGCCATTTTCTCCAATTTTGCCCACTTTTGCTTCTTCCTTCAATTTCTTATACTGTCATTGAATTTTACCTATTCAACACAAAATGCAATAATTTAGACCATAATTCATTCGAGAAGCAACTAAATATCATCTTTTTAAAGCTTTGAATAATTATATAAAATACACTTATCAGTGCTCATATTAAAATTTAATGGTGACACCCACAATATCATAACGTTATTTAGCCAAGTGATCAAGGGCGGACCTGGGGGGTCCTACAGGGTCAATTGACCCCCTAGTTTTTTGGGAAAAAATCTACTTTTTTTAGGTCAAAAGTTTAAAATCTACACTATAAGTGTATAATGCAATCGGTAGCTCCAAACTCAACTTTATACCTTTGTCTTTCTCTACCAATCTGTTGACTGCCGACTATTATTACCATTTATGGTTTACCTACCTTTGAAAGTTTAATTGTGACCTTCTAACCCAAAGTATTTGGGTCCTCCCCTACAAGTGATTATTATAGTAACCATTACAAACTTGAATGATTATCAACGTAAAAAATTATTTTAATAATGATTTTGAATTTTATTAAAAACTTCGGCAATTGTTGTTGAAATTAATTTTATCTACAGAACTGACTACCTATTCTTTTTTATATATGTAAATTACAAGAATCTGCTTTGCTTTTTTCAGGTGAAACTCAACAAATTAAAAGTTGCTTAAGAATTTAAATGGATACGACTTAATAAATAACAGAAAGGTCTTACTATTGATGTTTCCAATACAAGAGAGTTTTTCAAATAATTCAGATTTGTAAGAATGTTGGATATAGATTTAAGTCCATTTTAGTGCTATTTGTGTCAATGTTTCAAAATCTACCATGATTACTCTCCAAATAAAGAGTAGTGAAAATTACACAAAATCAGGGTTATAAACATCACAATTCAAAAATCAGGATTGAAGTTTCATTGTGAAAAAATCAAGTATTGATTTAATAATTTAAATATTAAATATTTCACCCAGTTCAAATTTTCAAACCCTACTTTTACCTTTTCTCTCTCTACCATCTTTCTTATCTCTCTATATTCTCCCTTCTCTCTATCAAAAAACACCACCATCACCACCGTCGACGTTGATTCACAATGGCGGCGATTCACGATCGACGACGTCCTGAAGCAACCTCATCGACAGCTATTCTGTTTGTTTTCTCGCTCTTCTCCTCTAAAGCAAACCTCACTCGGTGGCTCCAATCGTTCTTCGATCTCCCCGTCATTAGCGTTCACTCATTCGACGAAACTGCAGTCATTGGCACAAACACAACTGTGTTCACAGTAGCATCAGCGTCGACTGTGTTCACAGCAGCATCGACGAAGCTATGTTCACAAAGTTACAATCCTTGGCATCGACTAATGATGATGTCGAAGGGAGTTTGGGGTTTTTTCTTTCTTTTTTCGATTTGAGGATGTTGTGGTGAATTGTAGATATGAGCGGTAGTATTGTGCAATGGTGGTGGTGGCGGCGATGTGGGGATTATTTGGTAAAACCAAGTTCATTGGAGATATAGGTGGCGGGGTGGTCGATTGAACTGGTTGTTGTGGTCACAAGAAGACGTAGTCATGTTGGCGGTGGAAATGGCGGTGAGGTTGTGGGTTAGGTATTGTAGCAGCATCGACGAAGCTATGTTAGCGAAGTTACAGTCCTTGGCACCGACTAATGATGATGTCGAAGGGAGTTTGGGGTTTTTTCTTTCTTTTTTCGATCTGAGGATGTTGTGGTGAATTGTAGATATGAGCGGCAGTATTGTGCAATGGTGGTGGTGGTGGCGGTGGCGGTGGCGGTGGCGGTGGCGGCGACGATGTGGGGATTATTTGGTAAAACCAAGTTCATTGGAGATATAGGTGGCGGGGTGGTCGATTGAACTGGTTGTTGTGGTCACAAGAAGACGTAGTCATGTTGGCGGTGGAAATGGTGGTGAGGTTGTGGGTTATGTATTGTTGGTGTGTTTGGCGGTGGCAATCATGGTAGTTTTTTAGCGACAGTGGAAGTAGTGGATGGTGGCTGTGCTACTGTGATGGTGTGGTGGTCGACATTTTTTGGTTGGTGCTTGTTGTGGTTGTGGTGGTGTCGTACAAGAGATGGTGGTAGTTTTTGTTGATGGTGTGTTACAGGTGACGATGGTGGTTATGATTTTTTGCTGTATTGCAGATAGCGGAGGCGGTGTTCGTTTTGGTGATGGTGGTGGTGTAGTGCAGGCAATGGTGTGGTGGTTACGGTGGTATGGTTCAAGCGACGATTGTGTGGTAGTAATTGTGACCAAGATTGGCGCTGTATTGATACTGGTGTTGGGGTGTTTGGTACGGGTGACCAATTATTTGGACTAATTATTAATCTGTGACCTTAAAATTCGATAGTCTATGACCAATAAATTTTAAAATATATGACCATAGATAAATTATGACATGTAATTTGAATGATTTGTGACCAATGAAATAAATTGTGACGTATAAAATTATTGATTTGTGACTTCAAAATAATTTGACCTACAAAATTTTTTATTTGTAACCACGAAATATTCTGTGACCAATTAATTTGATGATACGTGACTAATAAATAAATCTGTGACTTATGACTATGAATTTGTGATAATTAATTGTATAACTGTGACTTTATTATATTTATTTAACAAATATTTTTAATTAATTAGATAAAAAACCTGGTTTTTGCATTAATTAAACTTAATTCCTGATTTTTGAAGTGTGCAAAATTAACATTTGGTTTGTGAATTTTTCCCTAAAAAGTACACACAAAAGGCAAGAAAGTTTGAGGGGTTATTGGTCCATATCATGGTGGGTCTTTGATTGGGCTGAAGGTAATCATAGAGAAACATGTAGCTTGATTCCGGGCCCAATTATGAAACTCTGTCCAGAATTACTTTGCATACAACTTTATATATTATTTACCATAATTACTGACAATCATGCTGCAACACCAAAATTATTGACATAATTATTGGCATAATGTCACATAATGCTCTATTGTTGGATTGTGTAAAACGCTGTCATCATTTCCATCAAATCATAATCTGCCATATAGAAATCTGACAATGCTTCTGTCACCATTTATCTGACAAAGTAGCATAATCCAATTATTGAACATGTTCCCAACAAATAAAAATTACTTGTTAGTTGTTATTCAATTTTACGTTACTTGGAAACGTTGTTGGAGATCGATGTTATTGTGAAACAAAATATGCAAAAACTAACAGGGGTGTTATTAATTAAGATTTTGATGGATTTTAAAGGATTATAAATCATAATGAATTTCGTAAATTAGAATAGATTTTCACAAATTCCATAAAAATCTTATTAAATATGGTGAAATTTCAAAAGATTTGGTTATATGTATTTTAAAATTTAAAGTCCATCCAAATCTTTCAAATATGGTAGCCAGTGAGGGGCCATTTTGGAAGGGTGATAGACTATGATTTTTGGTTTTGATTTTGGGATGGGGGGTGGGGTGTAGGGTACGGGGATTGGTTGAAGAAGATTATAGGGCTATTTGGGCCTGATTTTTTTACCGTTATTTTACTATTCCAGCCGTCATATTTGACTTCTTCTCTCACAGGTGGACCCCACTTTTTCCTAACGGTAAAAAAATCAATTTTCAAAATTACTCCCAAACAGCCTCTATATATGTTTAATATATTATTATTTTAAAAAATTAAAATAGAGTCTCTTAATTTTTTCTTAAGCATTAGCTCTTTAAAATAAGGGTATTTTGAATTGAGAGAGTCTCTTGAAGAAGCGTTAATTATCGTACTAACGTAAATGTTATCATTTCTGGAGAATATGACACCTTAGAAACATAAGTTTAGATGAATGTAGGCCAAACGTGGATTATCTGGTTATATATCTACATGACTTGATTTGTGGCTAATAAATGGGGACAATGGATGAGGCATTCTTGGTGGGAAAGAAAACAAACAAATTCAGCTTCTAATTACAACCATACTATCTTAAATTAGGTTGTTTTTTCTATCCGATCATTTTTCTTAAACTTATCAAGAATCTTAGTATCTTTTTAATGATTGTTTGAGAATAGATTTTGTGAAAAATAAGAAAAATTATGAGTCAGCATACAAAATTATTTTATGAAAAAAAAAATGTACAAATGAAAATGAGTTAGCTGAAAAATAAAAATTTAAAAAGGTATACCAAATAGAGACTTAAATTTTTTGTGTTCAAACG